GTGAAGAACCAAGAGCAGAACACATAAAGCTGTGAGATTAGTGCAGAAAACATTTTCTGCTTGTTCTTAGTCCTGACGGGGGCAAACAGGCAGAAATAATAACCACTGATGGCCCAACGCACAGTGAAAGAATCAATAAATATTTTCATAAATCAATTTGACTCGGAGAATCTAAAAGAGCAGACAAAATGTCATATTCACCTTTTTCTCTAACTCAACTAGAACAGAGCATGAATGTTAAAGTCTCCACTCTGCAATTTAAGGTTTATTAAATGTTAAATGAACTTATTTATTGTTCTGTAGGTATAGATACCTGCAAACCTGAAAGGATGTTTATTAGCCTGGATATGAAATCGAATGTATTGTTTTACTTCTGGCAGCTGGTTCCACAGATTCACAACTGAAAATGACAGATCACCTGCATGGACCAGCCTGGACTTTAGGACAATTAGAAGCAAACCGTTGTCATATGTAAGAGATCTGGAGGACTGATACAGGACCTGCCCCTTAAGGACCTTATAGGTCGTCAGTAAAACTTAAAAATCAATTCTAAAATGATCAGGGAGCCAGAAGTGAGGACATAAATTGTAAATGGACTGTACTTATATAGCACATTTCTATCTTATCAAGACACTCAAAGCTCTTTACAACACAATCTGTGTCCTCGTTTACCCGTTCATACAGCACTCTACTAGATCTCTACAAAGACTAATAGGAGCTTTATCACATTCATACACTGATGGGACACACATCAGAGGCAATGAGGCAATGCCTAACTCTTAATGTTTGGAAACACCTTATAACTGTGACTTTCCTTCCCTCCACTGATTACGGTGACATTATTTACATGAACGCTCCTACAAGAACTCTGCAGATGTTGGATGCTGTCTATCATGGTGCACTAAGATTCATAACTGGCTGTGATTATCGTACCCACCACTGCACCCTGTATTCATTGGTTAACTGGACATCATTAACTTCATGCAGACTCTCTCACTGGCACATCTTCATCTTTAAATCACTTCTTGGTCTGCTGCCTTCATACATCTCCTCCTACATGTCTCTGCGTGAGTGCAGCTACAGCGTGCGCTCTCAGGACATTATTATTATTGTTCTGAAATATATTTCTATCAGTATTATATTTTGTTATGTTGCTGAAAGTTGTGTACACCTACGGTCTGCAGTATAAATGCATATTAAACCGATGCAAATCCTTTATTTCCGGGTTTTTGTTTCCGGTAGGAAGGAGTTTTAGTTACACGCCTGCACTCTGCAACAAGCATGACACTTGATTGTTTACATCAATGATGGAAGTATTACTGGCTGAGAGGCTGGTCACATGGTAAGAGTAGGCTGTCCTATGAGCGGAGATGACACCAACGGGTGTGACCTGTTTCTGAAGAAAAGTGTGAAGCGCTCTGTTAACGGGGGCTGTTCAAGTGAAAGGGGCAGACATCATATCCTGCTTCAGACCTTTGAATAACGTAACAGTTCCCTCAGTGCGGACTGAACTAGGCAAAAGGGTCTTCTCCTACTCCGCTCCTGTTTCCTGGAATATCTTGCAAAAAGATCTGAAGCTCTCGACCTTGACCTCTCGGACTTTAAAACTCTGTTAAGTTCCTGGCAAGAACCAATGCAGACATGTTCCTGTTTTTAGTTTTCTACATCGCTTTACAACCAGCTGTTTTCTTGTTACATTTTCTTTTAAATACCTTTTTATTTTCACTTCAACTCGTACGCATCCTTTAACGATTGTCTATTGTTGTCATCACTCTTTGTTAAAATCAGGTCTCTCTTGTAAATGAGTCCCTGAGGCTCAATGAGACTAACCTGTACAAATAAAGGTTGAATGAATGAGGGGTTCAGTGTCTTGCCCAGGGACACTTCAACATGTGACTGCTGGTGGAATAGAACCACCAACTCTCCCACTGGAAGACGACTGCTCCAACCACTCAGCCACAGCTGCCCATAAGTTGTTATTGTTCATTATTATTGTTGTCTGTACTTTATATGTTCTGTCTGGAACAGGTCTCTTGTAAATGGGTCCCCGTGGCTCAGTAAGACTAGCCTGTAGAAATAAAGGTTGAATGAAAAAGTTCCTGTGTTTTTTAAGACGAGCTGCAGCGTTCTGAACCAACACACAGAAGTTACAGTAATCCAGTCATAAAGGAATGAAAAGTGTAAAAGGATCAAACCAATTTCACTTTAGATAAAAGCCTCAATTAAAAAAAAAAAAAGATCTCTCCACTAGAGACCTTGTCTTCTTGTCACGGTTAAACTTTTAATCAGATGTCATCCCCAGTAGTTCTTGTGATCTGTAGAAGTGCCAAAAATAATCCCTAAAAATTTGACGACGTTTGAAGCCATTCAAGCTTTTATGTCAGCGAGGCAGTCAAACAGAAGTGTTGTCTGCGTGGAAATTAAATGGATTATTTTTTTAGATGGAGCCCATGGGGAGCATGCAGATGAAAAAAAGGGTCCAAGAATAAACCCTGGAGGAACTCTAGGATAACTCCCCATTACTAAAAAGCAACAGATTCTCTGTGGCTTAGAGAGAAACTCCTGCCAGACAGGTAAGACCTGACCCAGTCCAGTGCAGAGCGTTTGGTACCACAGAGGTCTGGAGATCAGAACCCTGTCGTCCAACAGCTGAGTCTCCTGAGTCTGGAGATAATAAAAGATCATTAAAACTTTTTAAAGACTGTTTTTAGTGCAATGAAGGGCTTTAAAAATGATGAAATGTTTCAAAGCATATAGTGCACATTTAAAAAAATCCACAGCTGGATAAAAACCATTCTTTCTACCAGTTTTTGATAAAAAGAGAAGTTTTGAAATGGACCTAAAATTTGAAAGGATAAGCTCTCAGGAGGAGGATCAGATTTGTTCAGCACAACAGGCCGGACTCTGAACTGTTAGAGAAATATCAGAGCAACACATTACAACGTTCTTTAAAAGTGTGTGGGAACATCATTTGAACAGGAAGACGTCTTCGTGCTGGACAGGAAGACGTCTTCGTGGTGGACAGGAAGACGTCTTCTTGTTGGACAGGAAGACGTCTTCGTGGTGGACAGGAAGACGTCTTCGTGTTGGACAGGAAGACGTCTTCGTGCTGGACAGGAAGACGTCTTCGTGGTGGACAGGAAGACGTCTTCGTTGTGGACAGGAAGACGTCTTGGTGTTGGACAGGAAGACGTCTTGGTGTTGGACAGGAAGACGTCTTGGTGGT